CTCCAGTTGGTTTAGTTTGCAAATAAACTAGTCTGAGCCTCTATTCTTTCTATAATATTTTAAAAGTAGATTAGTACTTTATGTAAAAATCTCAATTAAATATTCAATAAAGTTAGAGGCATGGCCTTACCATTAATATTAAAAAAAAAAAAGAGGTAAGAGAAGTAATGAAAAAAGAAATATAAAAGAATTTTGCCTATCCTAATACTACAATTATAAGTCTGTATTAGGCTTATAAAAATTATATACTACTAAATAAATTAACCTCTATTCTAATTTTATTTAATTAGTATATTTAATTAAAAATCTATCAGAAAAAAACTTCATCAACTTATATATTGTAGAAGAATTGGTATTTATTTTTAAAGCATTGTTAGTATAGATTTTCTTGCATTTAAAGCACATATATTCATATGTTTGTTGCTACTGCTGTTTTATTCTATCACATTCTATCAAATAAAACATGTAGTTAATAATTTTTTTAGTTATATTTTATCCAATTTGGGAGATAAACAATATTAACTATTTTAGTAAAAAGATTGTTGATTATTTGGAGAAGATAAGCTAAGACTTTTACTTTTTACAAAATTTTCTTGAAAAAAAATAGTAGGCTAACAAAAATATTTAAGGTTCTTCTTGTAAGTTATATAGTTGTATAGTTTAGCTTCTCCATTTCTACTAATTTGAAAATGTATATTGGCTATTTCTACAGACTTGTTTTCAGAATAAACCTTCTGGTTTGGATGTCTAATATCTTGAGAAGTCCATTACAAAAAAAATTTGTTTCCAAAAAATCTATTTGTCCTTTTAATATCTGCTTCTTAGTATATTATATATAGGTGCTTAGACTTCATTGATAACAAGCTGCTCCTATCTATAGGATCAAGTTTATTTTATTGCTTTTTTATATAGTTTTGCTATAGTTTAATTTTTGTTGTTATTAATCAAAAAATCATCAGAAAGAGTATTTTTTGAGTTTTTGTATAACTAATATATATTTTTTCAAATTGTATACTAAAAATAAATAGTAATTTTGTAATAAGTTTAATATATATACTAATAAAAGTTGCTAACTATAAAGCTATCTTTAATAGATAGAATTTACTTATACTAAAATTAGTACATTGTATTAGTTTTTTTTTTGGTATTAAGGTGAGGCCTTGCTTATATCTTTATTAATAATTTTAAGAATAGTAACTATATAGAAACTATATAGAAATACTACTATTTGTATAAGTACAAATAAAAATAAAAATTATATACAAGAATAAAAACTCAAACATATTTATCTGTGATCTAAACCTACTAGAGTGATCAAAGACTCATCTAGATTATTATAGATAAATAAAATTTAATATAATACTATATTTAATTCAGTGTATATACCAGATACTGATTTTTTTATAAGCATAGTCCACAAGAGGGCAATTATCTGAATAGGAATGTAATTAGTCTACTGTTTTATATATACAAGAATAAGTATAATTTGTATATAGACAATTAATTCTATTAATAGTTGAGGATGTATCTTTAGGTTTTAAATAAGAGTATGTTATTTGTTGCTGTTTTTTCTAGTTAGAGAAATTAATATAGTAAGGTTTTCAAAGTTATTCATATACTTGCTTGTTAATTTTAAGTAATAGTTTAATAATAATATAGGATGTTTGTTTATATAGTATATAGAAGTTTTGAACTATTTGAACTAGAGAATTTGGAACTAGACCTTTAAGAGTAAGTTCTAGATAGTGTGAAGATTAGTGAACTGCTATAAGGTTAAATGCCTTATGTTGTTGTATTTGATAAATTAGATCTGTTTTTTTGATCAAGTGTTAAATCTAGTTCAATAGAATTAAAGTAGTAGTTAACTCAAGTATTAATTATGTGCTGAAGTAATATTGGATTGGAGCAGTTGAGCCAGTATAAAGGTGAGTTTGATGCTCCACAATAAAAGAAGCTAGTGTGATAAAAGATAGTAGGATAAAGATTATAATAAAGTGAATGAGTAGGTAGTTCTTAAAGTAGTGTTTTGATTTTAAATAATTTAAGTTGATTAAGCTTAAAGTTTGTGACATTATAAGTAGGTTTATAATTAAGATTAAAGTATAGTCATATTGATCTTTAGTTAATTTTATATCTAACTTGAGACCATTTTTAATTACATTGTTGAGATGACTATATTGCCAAAATATGAACTTTACAAATAATTTTAATAAAAGGTTGTGTGGCTTGTTCTACAAAAAATTTTTCTTCTTCTCACTGTAAAATATGATATAGATTATAAATATTAATATAGCTGAAGTTAAGATATAGGCTAATTATATATTATTTAGCTAAAGAGTCTGCTAGGTTATGAAAAGTGTTGTTTGTATGGGTTTGAACTTTATAAAAAGTTACTTGTAGTTAATAGGATTTTATTATATTGAGGAATGTATGCCATAGTGGCCATACATTAAATTTAAAAAGCTTATTAAGATTAAAAGTAGAAATGTAAGTTTATAGTATTTGGAAATAATGAATTATGAATCTGCATAAATATTAATTGTAGAATTACAAGGTGTTATAGTAATGGCTGATAAAATAAAAAGAGTTCTGCCTTATATGAGGATAGTTAGCTTAATTTGAGTATTAAATTTAGAACTAATTTGATTATTATTATCAACTTGAACCCAACCTATATCTATTATATAGTGTTCAATACCAATGTTGATAATAGATCTGTCAGTATAAAAATTAAATAATCTGAAGTTTAAGTTGTTAGTTGATATTTCTACAAGTTTGACTGATGGTTCTTTTAAATAAAAAATTGATGTTACAATTGAGTCTACTACTAAAATAATAGGTGGTGTAGATAGAACAAGATTTGGTGGTGGGTATTTGATAGCAGTAGAGAAGATTAGATTTATGTAATTAGTATTAAATTTGAATTGATCATATATTGTTCTGCCAAAATTTCGTGGATGTAGTTGTAAATATTATTAGAATACAAGCTGATTTTATTCTATTAGAGTTGAGATAGCATCCTAGACAAGGTTTGCAACTAATAGGAGGTAATGTTCAAACAAGTCAGAAATCTAAAAGATGATATTCCACAATCTCCTATTGCTAAAACTACATCTGCTTCTACTCTTTCATTCCCACTCAACTACTCTGCTACTACAACATCTAGCAAATTATCATCTCAAACTCCTCAAATACAAGCATATTCTCATCATACTCATATATGTATTATTTGCAAACTCAAAAATATTCCTTGTACATTCTTACTAGACAACAAACATATACTCTTAAGTAAAGCTACTCTTATTCTTAGAGGCTATCCAGCTCATGTTGCATATATTCACAAACTCAAACTTAAACTAATTTTCCAAACTCATCTACTTACACCTGTTGCACGCAGTGCCTTTTATACAATTAAATTTGCTCAAATGAGAAAAATAAAAAAATATCAAGTTTTTAAAAACTTCTTGCAGTTAATCAAAAAAAAGAAAATACTAAATACCTTAAACGAGACACATCAAATGACCTTGACTGGTTTAAAATCTACCCTATTACCTCAGAAATAGAGCCTTTCTCTAAATTTAATACACCACTTGCCCAGCAAATCTTTGAATTTGTCAAGCCATTTCTTATTGACTTTGCTTCAAGACAAATTAACAAGAAAATTAACAGACCAGATGTCAAATATAGCCTTACTATCTCATTAAACAAATGGCAGGACAATGATCTAAATTTTTAACTGACTTAATTTATCAATAATATTTAACAACCAATAAAGATATTACTATTCCTTTCAAAATAGTACACACCTCTTTTAAAAATATTTTATTTAAATTTACTCACATTCTCTTTACTAAATTATGCAAAAATATTTGCTCTATACAACTCAATTCCTCTTTACTCCACTTCTAATTGCTATAATGTAGTACTTAACTTTGCTCGACTTCATTTATTCCTAAATAGTAAATACCAAACTATCAATAGAGCTAAATTCATCCAAGATTTGAATATTAGTGAATCAAGTCGACCCTAAAAAATTGACTTGACTAAGTCGACTCAAGTCGATTATAAATTTTGGTTTTTAACTAAAAGTCGATTTCGATATCACGTGAACATATGGCACCAATTAAAGCTTAAGTGATGCACCAATACTTCATTAAACTGGAATCTACATGTGCAAGAGTATGCATGAATGTACATTTTTTCTGCACGTGTAAATGCACAAACTTTTAACTTGATCCTGAAACATAAGTTGTAAAATACATAACTTTATATTTTAAGGTTTTAAACAAAACATTGTATTTAGCAAAGTTAACTGTAATGGGCGCTGTAATAGGTCTAATATTTGATCTTAATACTTTTATTTAAAACATGTACTTAGCGTTTGAAAATATAGATCCATTATAAACTATGAATATATTTATTATTTCATTTATACGGAAGCTTATTTAGGTGTGCCTATTCAAGATCTGGATAAATATTGAAATTCTTATTATTTTCTTTTAAAAAAACCAGATCATGAACAGTTTTAGGAAGTAACCTATATTTTTTATCAGTTAACACATTTCCGGCTGTTGAAAATAAATGTTCAGAAGGAACAGAGGTTGCAGGGATTGAAAGATACCGATGGGCTAGTTGTGCAAGTAAAGGTAATGTTTTTGAGTATAATTGCCACCACGAAAGTGGGTTTTCAGTTTTATATTCTGAATCGTTAAGATCATATAGTGCCATTTGAGGGATATCAAAATATGTTTTCAATTCTGTATTAATTGGAGAAGATTTCTTGATAATAGTAGTATTATTGAAAAAAAACGCTAAATTTGAAAATGATTTCACTATTGGTTGTTCTTCTAAATATTCATTCTCATCTAATGCTATCATTTTTTGTTTGAGGTATTGTTTTGTTTCTTTGAATTTTTCTGGGGCGAATTTTAGATTTTTAAAACGAGGATCCAAGATTGCAGCTAAATATCCTTCTATTTCTGGATCTTCTCATCAATCAGCTATATTAAGCTCGATCTCATCTTTAACGTTATGAATAACTTGATGGGTAAGGATTTTTTCTAGTTTAAACAAGTGTTTTTGAAGGGTTGCAATTGTTGGAAGCATAAGAGAGAGTGTGGGATATGTATCACCACCCATTAGACATGTTGCGCAGGCAAAGGGTTCTAATAAACTAATAAGTTCTTTAAGACCTAATAATTCTTCTTTATTTAACAGTAAAGCCTCTAATTTTTTTCCATCTTTACGAATTTCTCGATCAGCATTTTGAACCATTTTTTTAACAAGTAATTGGATTGATTCATTGAGTAATAACAGACGCTCTAACAGCACAAATATAGAATTCTAACATGTAGGAGACATTGTGGCTATTGGTTCTAAAAGTTGTTCACGACTTGTAGCACGATTATTTTTTTTATTTATTTCTTCTTGTGCATTTTTTAGCATTTCTCTGTATTTATCCCTATTAACTAAAAAACTATTTAATTCTTTTGCTTTATCAATTAATCTTATTACTTCACTAGATTTTAAAGAATCAGTAATTGAAAGTTGAAGAGTGTGTGCTATGCAACGAATATGAATTACACCAAGATTGGTCATTGCTTTAACCATTGATAAAGCATTGTCTGTTGTTCCAGCAATGCATTTTTCTAAGATATTCCATTTGGCAAACTCACGTCTCAAACAATCTTCAATATGTTCGGCAGTGTGAGGATAAGGAAATTCTTTGATGGTCATAAGTATTTGATTTAAATGAAAATCAAAATCAAGCCAATGGGTTGTGATTCTGATATATGGTTTATGTACACTGGTCCAAAGATCAGTTGTAAATAAAAATGTATTCATAGTTGTTTGAAAAAGGTCAAGTATTTTATTTTCTCCAAAGTTAACTGCATCATGAATTTTTTTTTTAATGTATCTTGACACAGAATTTGATAACGGGGTTCAGCCTCATATACAAAATCATGAAATTTATCATTTTCCATTATATTAAATGCCAGCATATCATCAATCAACCATGCCAAAAGTCTAGATGTTAATTTATACTTTTTTTTAGAAGATAATGATGATGGTTTTGTTATTGTATCTAATAATGTGGGTTGTGTGGGATCGTTTTGAGCTACACAAATAGGTTTTTTGGAAACTGGCTGTTTAGATGTGCCTGACAATGGCAATAACGAACCTTTTTCTGACAAACGATGCACTGTACAAAGATGAGCTCCGAGTGTACTAGTACTAGTAAGAAGCGCAAAAGTTTCTCCACATGGTCCTATTTTTTCACCTTTTTTAACTGGAACTAAGCATATTGTTGCTTTTTTTTACAAATTTATCTTTTTTCATATGTTTCCATACCCAACTTTTTCTGGGTTTGGGTTTTTTATTGGATGTAGCAAATTAACAAGAGGATCTGAATAAGTGAAACTATCTGATGGTGAAGTAAGATTTTTAGGGTTATCTAAAGTAAGTGGTTCAGAACTATATAAAGATTTGGAAGTGTATAATGAAGTAGTATGTTCAAGATTAGGAGACGACGTTGAATATTCGTTACATAAAGTAAGATTTTTAGGGTTATCTAAAGTAAGTGGTTCAGAACTATATAAAGATTCGGAAGTGTATAATGAAGTAGTATGTTCAAGATTAGGAGACGATATTAAATATTCGTTATATAAAGCTGAAGATTCAAAAGGCATAACAGAAATAGAATCTAAATTATATTCTAATATACTATCAGAAGTATCTTCTGATTCGTCTTGGAATATAAAATCATTCTGATCCATTATGACAATTAGGTATGTTATTTACAAACCAGAATTTATGTAATTTGAAAATAAGATTTGGACGGGTAAAAACGATCAATAAGCAGAAAGATTTTTTTGCAAACAGTTAATTTTGATTGTTAAATAAATTTTATTTTATTTAATTAAAATTATAGTTTGCTAATTGAGTATTACTAACCCAATAAATTTATTTTTATTGATTTAAAAACTCTCTTTTTATAAATTTTAGACACATCTTTTTTTTTTGCCAAGAAAGATTCTATCAACTTCTATCTCATCTAATCTAATACATAACAATAACTAATTTATTAAAGTAGGGGCTTGGGTGGCAATATTTTGCTTTAAAAGTATTCAATTTTTCCTTAATCTTAATATTCTTCTTTTTTCCTTATGATTTCGAACTTCTTTTTTCCTTATGATTTCGAACTTCTTTTTTCCTTATGATTTCAAACTTCTTTTCTCCTTATAATTTCGAAGTTATTTCAAAAATTCAATATACATCTTAACACAGCCCCAACTAGGATTACTCCTATTTTAGTTTTTTTATACTCTTTTTTATCAGCTAACTGGTCATCAATCACTTTACTTTTTTAGATCAGCGCCTTTAAATTTTAATAATCATATGAACAATATCATGCTTTTTATTCTAACGCTTTTATGTCCAGCATCGCATCTGATAACGGTCGAATCAACTTTACCAGGAGATAAAAGCCATTGTGATAATTGCTTTGAGGAATGGTTTTGAGAAATAAATATATTAGGGAAAGAGTAGATCGGTAAGTATATATTAGAAAAATAAATTGAAGACAGTTTTCAAAAATAAGAACAATGAACTCACACTTATATGAAAATTAAAGAATCAGAAAATTCAGTTTGGTAGAGATTAAAAGATCTGGTAAGAATAGGTTTAGAAAAATATCTGGTAAGAATAGGTTTAGAAAACTCCAGAAATCTGAATATTATAAATACATACCGAAAATGTGTACAAGGATGGTGGCACAGATTTCCTGAACTACGAACCTTATTTCAAGATTAGGGAGATTCAAAATAAACGTTCATTCTGCCAAAAATTGCTCATAGCTCAAAAATCAGCATAGAAAATCACCTTTTGTACTCTAAAAAAAAGTTTTTGTTGGACAATTTTAATATTTATTACTAGACCCTAACCCTAACGAATTTTAAGAATTCCACCAACCTTGTATACATTTTCAGTATGCATTATAAATTTCTTATAGTATAGCAATTTCATTTGTTTGCATTTTTCGAAAAAAATTTTATAAATAGTTTAGCCTTGTGTTTGGCCATAATTAAAGTAAAAGAATTAAATTACATATGATAATTTCAAAGAATTGTGACGTTGGAGAATTTTAGCGTATATAGTGTTGCAATCAATTTCTTAATAAACGCATTAGTTTGGTTATATAATAACATATACTATACCAGTGTTGTCACGTCTATGTCCAAGACTTTTTTTGCTCATGTCCACGTCCAAACGTCCACAGTGTCCACAACTGTCCAAAGAATATTTAGACTTTAAAATTTAATAAATTAGTTTAAAAAAGATATAATTATATATTTTTTATAGTTCTGAATATTTTTGGTTAAAAGATTAAAATAGGTTATCTTAATAAAATTTTGAGTAATTTAGATTTGTTTTTTTATTTAAAATTGGTCACAATTGTCCACAAAGTGTCCAAAGCTGTCCTGTGCCAACACTGTACTATACTAATGCATATATGATAAATGTTTTCGGATTGCAATCATGGCCATTTCCAATCTCAATTTATTTATTCATAGATAACTCAATAAATTGTTGCCAATTTATATGTAGCGATTTTAATAAATGCTAGCCCGAATATTTATATATTTAAACTATATTAATATTACAATAGTAATCATTGAGCTGACAAATTATTTGTACTTGACTAAGTCGGCTTTGTAAAAATTGACTTGGTTAAGTCGACTAGTTGACTTAAATCAATTTTACAAGTAGTGACTTGGATCACTATTGAATATATGCCCTATTCATCTTAACCTTTATTACTTTACTTCTATTAATATAAAAAACCAACCTCTACTCAAAATTTAAAATGATACAAGTTCAACATTAATGTCTTCTTTAATATACTAAAAACACAATTTCTAAATGACTTTCATATTCCATCTTTTAAACCTTACAAATCTAATTTTGATACTTGGTTTGACTTCTTCTTCAAAGTCTATCAACGACAATTCTCTAAGATAGATAAAAAGAAAACCTATAACTTCTTCAAATACCAAATTGCTACTAAATTTGCAAATATCTGTAAAAGCTTTCTCTCAAAAACTCTTACTATTATCTTTATTTCTTCATATAAGGAATGAATTAATCTCTGCATTAAAGCAGCACTTTATTATATATATATATACTCATAATAACAACATTCTATGTCAAACCCTACCAAACAACATAGAACATAACTTTAAAATCTTGCAATCTTCTTTCTTACTAAATCTTTTGATAAATTTTCTTCAACCTCTACTATCAATATACCTTCCAAACCAAAATTAAAATATCTTACACTAGATTTCTCTATATTTAATACAGATAACAAATATCCTGTTACTTTTAAAAA